ACTTCCTCACTACCTATCACAATTTCAGAGGCCCTGAAATGCCAGGATAGCACCAAACCTCCTCCAAATGACCCATTTTTGGAAAGTAGACACCCCAAGGAATTTAAAAAGAGGCATGGTGAGTATTTTGCAGATCTAATTTTTTCTCACAAGGTTTGAAAATAAAAAAAGAAAAGAAAAAATATGTTTTTGTTTTCTTTCTTCATTTTCCAAAATTTTGTGGCAACAAACGAGATCTGCAAAATACTCATGATGCTTCTTATCAAATTCCTTGGGCCTGAAGGTGCTTATTGGATTTTGGGGTCCTGTATGCAGCTAGACTGCCAAAAAGTCTCTCACATGTGGTATCCTCATATTTGGGAGAAGTAGCAGAATGTATTTTAGGGAGTAATTTCACATATACCTGTGGCATGTGTGAGCAATAAATCTTTTAAATGACAATTTAGTTTTTTTTGTCATTTTCCAGAAGCTTGTGGTAAAAAAATTAATTCTTCTTTTGACTCAACATGCCTCTCAGCAAATAGTTTGGGGTGTCTACTTTCCAAAAAGTGGTCTTTGGTGGGGAGGGGGGGATTTTATGCCCAGCATCAGAGGTTTATGCCACATATCACTCACTCTTCTAAGCACCTGAAGACCAAGCCTTTTCTGACACTTTTTGTTCACATGAAAAAATCAATATTCTTTGCTAGGAAATTACTTTGAGCCCCCAAACATTATATATATATTTTTAAAGCAGACACACTTGTGAATAAAATAGTAGGTGCTGCAATTTTTTATATCACATAGTACTTGTGCAGCAATTTTTCAAATGCAATTTTTTTGGAAAAAATACACTTTTTTTTACTTTTAATGCACAAAATCTCAATATATTGACCAATTTAGTAAAATATAAAAGAGTATATAGATACCAAACATGACATGCTTTAAAACTGTACACACACTGCAATGGCGACTAGCTGGCAGAAACACCGACTGCATTCTCAGGTTCCCCTGATGGCACGGGACTGCCCGAGAAGGCCGTAAAAGGCAGTGGGAGGGCATATTTTCCTGAAGCTTGTAAAAGCAATTGTGCAGCTAATTAGCCACTATGATTGCTTTTCCATGAAAGCCAATCGCCAGCTGAAAAAAAGAATGCCTCCAGCTGCAGGCATCATCCTGGTATAACCACTCAGATTCCAGTGATGTACCAGTACGTCGCTGGTCCTTGTTGGGTATATATGCTATGTTCCTTTTTTATGCAGCCTGTGAAATCTCAGAAAAAGTGTGTGGTATGTATGTCCACCATTAGAATATACCACCCTGAATCCACCCACTTCTAATGGCGGGCACACATTTGTCAGGAAAAAAAAGAACATAACAGATTCCACTATTCACATCGGTTGATGTGGATGAAGAAATCTCTGTTCAAAAATGTTTTTAAAAATATATACCGAAGCATAGGGGCCATCTACCCACTGGCCACCCGAGGCAACCATGCTTGGGCACATATGCTCTTTTTGAACTGTAGATGAAAAATCTCATCCAACAGCACTGCACACACTTACTTATGTATATTCTGAGAGCAGGACCCCCTGTTGCTGTCAGAAATAACAGGTCAGTGCTGCAGCTGAATGGCATTCCTTCAAAGAAAACAGCAATGGTTAACAATAAAACAGTAACAATAAAACAGTAACTCAATAAAACAACTTTTTTATTGAAATATGTGCCAAAAAATATTATAAATTATATATGCCAAAGCATAGGGGCCATCCGCCCACTGGCCACCCTAGGGCCCCATATTTGGGCATATAGGCTCGTTTTTAACTGCAGATGACAAATCTCATCCAACAGCGCTGCACACACTTACTTATGCATGTTCTGAGAGCAAGACCCTGTTGCTGTCAGAATAAACAGGTCGGTGCTGCAGCTGAATGGCATTCCTGCAAAGAAAACAGCAATGGTTGACAATAAAACAGTAAAACTGTAACAATTGAACAGTAACTCAACAACAACAAAACAAACTACAACTATTTTTGGTTTTAACCGTTTCAATACCGTGCAATTTTACACCTTCCTGCCCAGGCCATTTTTCAGGTTTCAGCGCTCTCACACTTTGAATGACAATTGCGCGGTCATACAACACTGTACCCAAACTAAAATTTTATCATTTTCTTCACACAACTAGAGCTTCTTTTGGTGGTATTTAATCACCGCTGGGGTTTTTATTTTTTGCTAAATTAACAAAAAAAGACCAAAAATTTTGAAAAAAAAACACATTTTTCTTTGTTTCTGTTATAAAAGTTTACAAATAAATAATTGTTCTTCATAAATTTAGGCCGAGATGTATTCTGCTACATGTCTTTGGTGAAAATAACCCAAATTAGGATGTATTTTTTAGTTTGTAGGAAAGTTATAGAGTTCACAAACTATGGTATAGATCTGAATATTGATCAATCCTGAAGTACTGACAGCCAATCTAATTTCTTGAGGTCCAAGAATGTCAGAACAGTACAGATATCCCCCAAATGACCCCTTATTGCAGAGTAGACAGTCCGACGTACTTCATAAGAGGCATGACGAGTTTTTTGAAGTTGTATTTTTTTTGTCATAATTTTTCGGAAAATTAAAAAATTAAAAAAATGATTTTCACTATTTTTTTTTTTACATACTGTCACCAGTGCAGTACAGCGTCATCATATAACTGGCATGGCGGTGAACAGGGACACTGACTGGTGACAGTATGAAAAAAAAATATATATATTTTTTTTAAATTTTTTTTTATTTTTTTATTATATTTATTTTTATTTTTTTCATATTTTACTATGACCAAAGTAGTACAATGTTACCATAGTAACATTGTACTACTTTGGGGGGAAGTGATCAGTATTTTTTTTTTCTTACACAATTTGCTTATAGCAAAGAATTACCGTATTTTTTCGCACCATAAGACGCACTTTTTCCCCCCCCAAAAAGGGGGGAAAATGTCAGTGCGTCTTATGGAGCGAATATAAAGCGGCCGGTCCGGTATTTTTGCGGCCACCATGTCAGAATACCGGGCCGGCCGCTCAGCTGTTGTCTCCTGCAGGGCCTTACCTGTTCCTCGCTCCAGCGCTGCACAGTCTTCCCGCGCTGGCTTCTGTGACAGCCGGGTGCCCACTGCGCATGTGCTGCGCTTTGTGAATGATCCGGTGTCTTCTGGGACACATGAAGGGTCCCAGAAGGCGCCGGGCCATTCACAAAGCGAAGCGCTTCTCGCACCTGCGCAGTGGGCACCCGGCTGTCACAGAAGCCGGCCCGGGAAGAAGAGGAAAGGCAACTCCGCGGAAGTGGGAGCGGGTACCTGTCAAATTCAGGTAACCGCTCCCCCTCCCTTCCCAAAGGTCAGCAGTCTCTGGTCATCTCCTGCACTGTCCGCAGTCTCTGGTCATTCCCTGCACTGTCTGCAGTCTCTGGTCATCCCTGTACTGTGTCCGCAGTCTCTGGTCATTCCCTGCACTGTGTCCGCAGTCTCTGGTCATCCCCTGCACTGTCTGCAGTCTCTGGTCATTCCCTGCACTGTCTGCAGTCTCTGGTCATCCCTGTACTGTGTCCGCAGTCTCTGGTCATTCCCTGCACTGTCCGCAGTCTCTGGTCATCCCCTGCACTGTCTGCAGTCTCTGGTCATTCCCTGCACTGTCCGCAGTCTCTGGTCATTCCCTGCACTGTCCGCAGTCTCTGGTCATTCCCTGTACTGTGTCCGCAGTCTCTGGTCATCTCCTGCACTGTGTCCGCAGTCTCTGGTCATCCCCTGTACTGTGTCCGCAGTCTCTGGTCATCTCCTGTACTATGTCCGCAGTCTCTGGTCATCTCCTGTACTGTGTCCGCAGTCTCTGGTCATTCCCTGTACTGTGTCCGCAGTCTCTGGTCATCTGCACTATGTCCGCAGTCTCTGGTCATCTCCTGTACTGTGTCCGCAGTCTCTGGTCATCTCCTGTACTGTTTCTGCAGTCTCTGGTCATCTCCTGTACTATGTCTGCAGTCTCTGGTCATCTCCTGTACTGTGTCCGCAGTCTCTGGTCATCTCCTGCACTGTTTCTGCAGTCTCGGTCATCTCCTGTACTGTGTCCGCAGTCTCTGGTCATCTCCTGTACTGTGTCCGCAGTCTCTGGTCATCTCCTGTACTGTTTCTGCAGTCTCTGGTCATCTCCTGTACTGTGTCCGCAGTCTCTGGTCATCTCCTGTACTGTGTCCGCAGTCTCTGGTCATCTCATGTACTGTGTCCGCAGTCTCTGGTCATCCCCTGTACTGTGTCTGCAGTCCATTGGTTCAGAATATTTTTTTTTCTTGTTTTTCACCACTAAAACCTAGGTGCGTCTTATGGTCAGGTGCGTCTTATGGAGCGAAAAATACGGTACTTTGCTATAAGCAAGCATTTACCTGAATGAAATCGATTCATTCAGCTTTTTTTTTTTTTTTTTGTGCTTAGCTGTGATTTGGTCACAGCTAATCACATGACATGTGCATGTGATTAGCTGTGACCATTCACAGCTAGGCACTAGTATACAATGGATGGCATCATGAATGAAGCCATTATTTTTGAAGCATTTTTTTTAATCACCTCCCGCCCGCCATATAGTAATATGACGGATGCAAGGTGGTTCTCTCATTCTGGGAGGACGTCATATGACGTCCTCCCATTCTCACCGCGCTGCGATCGGCGGTGCGCTGTGACACAGCGGATCAGCGATCCACGGAAAGAGCCAAAGATGTCAGCTCGGTCATGTGATCACTGTGTCCAATCACACCTGATCACATGTAAACAAGGAAATGCCGGTTATCGGCATTTCTCTCCCCATGAGCTGTCACAATGACAGCTCGTGAGGAGAGGAGAGCCGGTAATCAGCATTTCTCGGAGGAGACATGCACACAGATCATCAGAGCACTGATGATCAGTGTGCCCTGATGATCTGTGTAGACCAGCAGCACCACCTGTCTGTGTCCATCAGTGCCAGCTCTCAGTGCTCATCCATGCCACCTGCCAGTGCCACATTTCAGTGCCACATCAATGCCACATATCAGTGCCCATCTGAGCTGCCTTTCAGTGTCACCCATCAGTGCCAGTCAGTGCCACCTATCAGTGCCAGTCAGTGCCGCCTATCAGTGCCAATCAGTGCCGCCTATCATGGAAAGTACAAATTAAACGAGCGCTGGATAAAATAAAATGAATATGAGCATAAAGCTACTGACATGAAAGGTAAAAACCTCTAAAACCTTCTATAAAACCATGAAATACAAAAAACATGCAGCGCTGATCAGGAAGGGTAATAAAATCACATAGAAAATGTAGGTCGTGAGTCCCATAAAATATTAAAGTGAATAATATTGAATTATCAAAACGGCTTCAATAACCATAGATATGAATAAACGCTCGGTAGCGTTGCAAATAATGACACGTGAGAACGTCCCAACTTGACGTGATAAAGTGCATATAGTGATGACAATAAGATGTACAGCAAACTTCAGTAACAGTAAATGGTAACAATCCGCGACCATGGTGTTATTAGAGTAATGAGTGTAGATTGCACTAACCAGAAAGCGCAAATTAATACGCATTTGTTTGAGTAAATCAAGACCAACTCCTGGTCATCAGCATCTGGGAACTGGAAACAATGGGGGTCATCTGGCAAGCGTCAGCTAGGCAGGTAGCACACCATCAGGGTCTCCAGGCACCAGGAATACACTCTCTCACCAGCAGGGGGAACCAGGCACACAGGTAATGCAAGAGTCACCAAGGTTTGCCTTAACGGGGGGGGGGGGGGGGGGGGGGGGGGGGTGGCTTGCAATAAATGAGCCAAACAGGGAAGATTCCCATAGTGTAGTACTATAGTACTATTTTATGGGACTCACTACCTACATTTTCTATGTGATTTTATTACCCTTCGTGATCAGGTGCTGCATGTTTTTTGTATTCCACAGTGCCGCCTATCAGTGTGCATCAGTGCTGCCTATTAGTGCCGCCTAACAGTGCCAGTCAGTGCCACCTAACAGTGCCACCTATCAGTGCCATATATGAGTGCTGCCTTTCAGCGCCCATCAGTGATGCCTGTCAATGCCCACCAGTGGCACCCACCAGTGCCTCCTCCTAAGTGCCCATCAGTGCCACCTATCAGTGTCCATTAGTGCAGCATATCAGTGCCCATCACTGCAGTTCATTAGCGGACATCAGTGAAGGAGAAAAATCACTTATTTATAAACGTTTATAACAAAAACTAGGGGAAAAAAAATTTTTTTCAAAATTTTCAGTGGTTTTTGGTTTGTGTAAGAAAAAATAAAAAATCCAGAGGTGATTAAATACCACCAAAATAAAGCTCTATCTGTCACAAAAAAATAATAAAAATTTCATTTGGGAACAGTGTTGCATGACCGCGCAATTGTCATTCAAAGTGCAACAGCGCTGCAAGCTGGAAATTGGCCTGGGCAGGAAGGGGGTATAAGTGCCCTGTAGGCTAGTGGTTAAAACTTTCAGTATTTTTTTCATTTATATAGCAAAAAATAAAAACCCAGTGGTGGTTAAACACCACCAAAAGAAAGCTCTACCTGGCTCAAAAAATTGCAAAAATTTCATTTGGGTACAGTATTGCATGACTGAGTAACTGCCATTCAAACAGGATTCTGTTTCCTGTTTCCATTTGCCAGATTGTCCATTAAAAGGGCAGCATATTTTTTTTCAAAGTGCCGCATATGTGAAGAAGGCTACAACACCCTTTATTAATTTTTCAGTATATCTATGCAAGGGATGGCACAGAAGAAGATCATGAAATTCAGAAACATGGATCGCACATTTAAAGGGCTAGGCTACTAAGGATTCAAAGTATGACACTGAGTGGACCTAAGATGAAATATTGAAGAAAGGGGAGTCCGAATATAAGAGAGGAGCAGACCTAACGACCACATTTAAGGGAAACAAGTACTCATGACCTGTTAGAAGACAGGTGAGGTGAGTGCAAGATTGAACAGTGGTGGATACACGTAGGTATTTAAACAACACAGGAGGTGACACACGTATTTTTGGAAGAAAATTGAAGGCATATACAGTTAGGTCCATATACATTTGGACACAGGCACAATTTTCATACTTTTGGCTCTGTATGCCACCAGAATAAATTAAAAAGAAACAATCCAAATGAATCTGAAGTGCAGACTTTCAGCTTTAATTCAAAGGGTTGAACATAAATATCAAGTACAAATTTTAGGAACTGCAACTATTTTTATACACAGTCCCTCCATTTTCAGGGGCTCAAATGTAATTTGACATATTAATATAATCATAAATAAAATATTAATTTTTAATATTTTGTTGAGAATCCTTTACTGGCAATGAAGTCAACTGAAGTCTGGAATCCATGGACATTACCAAAGACTGGGTTTCCTCCTTTCTGGTGCTTTACCAGGCTCTAACTGCAGCTGTCTTCAGTTGTTATTTGTGGGTCTTTCTTTCTTTAGTTTTGTCTTCAGCAAGTGAAATGCATGCTCAGTTGGGTTGAGATCAGGTGATTGACTCGGCCATTGCAGAATATTCCACTTCTTTTCCTTCAAAAGCTCCTGGGTTGCTTTTGCAGTGTGTTTTGGATCATTGTCCATCTGTACTGTGAAGCGCTGTCCAATCAACTTTGCTGCATTTGGCTGAATCTGGGCTGACAGTATCTCTCTAAACACTGCAGAATTCATTCGGCTGCTTCTGTCTTCTGTCACATCATCAATAAACACCAATGACCCAGTGCCACTGGAAGCCATGCATGCCCATGCCATCACACTGCCTCCACCATGTTTTACAGATGATGTTGTGTGCTTTGGATCATGAGTTGTTCCAAGACTTCTCCACACTTTTTTCTTCTCGTCATTCTGGTACAGATTTATCTTAGTTTCATCTGTCCAAAGTACGCTTTTCCAGAACTGATCTTTCTTTCTTAGATGTTTTTTGGCAAAGTCTAATCTGGCTTTTCTATTCTTTAGGCTTATGAATGGTTTGCACCTTGTGGTGAACCCTCTGTATTTGCTCTCATGAAGTCTTCTCTTGATTTTAGACTTTAACAATGATATAATAATATGAGGTGCAACAGCGCTAGGTGTCTAGTAATTAGTCAAGTGGATGAGTGTGTAGGTTATCGAGATAATTAGTTGAGCTGCTGGCATAGAAAGTAAACCTCAAAAAAACTTCAGATAGTATGTCATAGAAATATGCAGCGCTCATAAATCAGATATCATATATCAAAGAAACCTGATCACATATCATGAAACTGAATTAATTTAGAATTCAATATAACGGAATTCATAATAAATTGTAAATTAAATAAAAAGCATGTTAAACTCGTGACTTCTGTGGTGCATCCAGGGTTGGAAAACCAGAGGAAAGTTCGTGACTCTTGTGTTGAAAATGCTGAATAATAGCTTGCACTAACCAGATGTCTCAGCACATGGAGCATGGAGTAATTAAGACCTACTCCTGGTACTCTGAAATGAAGCCACTGGAGGGGATGATGTCATCTGATCTCTCGCCACTAGATGTCATGTTCCCAGGACAGCAGGACGATGATTCCAGAAATATACATCAGCCAATAGGAAGATGAATCCAGCAAGCCAGCCAGCAACACACAGGAGACCAAGAGGAACCAGGCACCTTCAAAAAACCCGGGCTCCCTCCAAAAAAGAGAGCCACAGGCCAGAAGCTTGGATAATGTAGTATTGTATTTATTCAGTAGTAATTTCAAATGAAAAAAATCACACTTACAATAAAGGTCACAGGAACATGGGGCAGCTAAATGGTATGTCCAGACAGTGTGGGGGCACCTACCTGACGCGTTTCGTGTCACACACACGTTTTCAAAAACGTGTGTGTGACACGAAACGCGTCAGATAGGTGCCCCCACACTGTCTGGACATACCATTTAGCTGCCCCATGTTCCTGTGACCTTTATTGTAAGTGTGATTTTTTTCATTTGAAATTACTACTGAATAAATACAATACTACACTATCCAAGCTTCTGGCCTGTGGCTCTCTTTTTTGGAGGGAGCCCGGGTTTTTTGAAGGTGCCTGGTTCCTCTTGGTCTCCTGTGTGTTGCTGGCTGGCTTGCTGGATTCATCTTCCTATTGGCTGATGTATATTTCTGGAATCATCGTCCTGCTGTCCTGGGAACATGACATCTAGTGGCGAGAGATCAGATGACATCATCCCCTCCAGTGGCTTCATTTCAGAGTACCAGGAGTAGGTCTTAATTACTCCATGCTCCATGTGCTGAGACATCTGGTTAGTGCAAGCTATTATTCAGCATTTTCAACACAAGAGTCACGAACTTTCCTCTGGTTTTCCAACCCTGGATGCACCACAGAAGTCACGAGTTTAACATGCTTTTTATTTAATTTACAATTTATTATGAATTCCGTTATATTGAATTCTAAATTAATTCAGTTTCATGATATGTGATCAGGTATCTTCTTTAACAATGATATGCCCACCTCCTGGAGAGTGTCCTTCACTTGTCTGGATTTTGTGAATGGGTTTTTCTTTACCATAGAGAGGATCCTGCGATCATCTAGCACTGTTGTCTTCCGTGGACGTCCATTTTTTTTATGTTGCTGAGCTCGCCAGTGTGTTCTTCTTTCCTCAGAACGTACCAAATTGTTGATTTGGCCACTCCTAATGTTGCTGCTATCTCTCTGATGGAATTGTTTCATTTTTGAAGCCTTACAATGGCCTGTTTCACCTGCATGGACAGCTCCTTTGAACGCATGATATAGGTTCATAGCAATAGATTCCAAATGCAAGTACCACACTTAGAATCAACTCCAGACCTTTTACCTGCTTATTGATGAAGAAATAATGGAGTAGCCCACACCTGGCCATGAAACAGCTTTTGATTCAATTGTGCAATTACTTTTGGTCCCTTGAAAAAGGGAGGATGGCTACTCTTAAGAGCTGTAATTCCTAAAGCCTTCCTCCAATTTGGATATACATACCCTCAAATTAAACCTGAGTGGGCATCCTTGTCTTGTTCCATTGTACATGTGAAAGCAGTAGCGTATTTAGGTTTTGTGCTGCCCTAGGTGTGACGATTGTGCACAATAGAGGCATGGATGCTGTACATGACAGCCATCTTGTTAGGTCACAGCCATGTTGTCTCTCCTGTCCTCCCTCCTCCCTTTTGAATGGAATGTGAGGCTGTAAGTGAACGGAGGTCAAAAGGGCCTTTTATCCTAAATAAAACACAGCTAGATGAGCTCCATGGCTGTAAACCACTAATTAGTCTGGTTCCAGGGGGTCTGCTTGAAAACCACTTTCCTCTGCCCGATCGTAAAACAATAACTCAGTCAGTCATGACCTGTTAGGCCATTAGAGCTAGAGTGTGCCATAAAACGTACATTCCACAAGTCATTATCATACAAATTCATAAATTTCAGCAGGAACTGGGCACATTAATATGAAGTATACTGTATATTTGGATAGGTAATTTTAATATGAGTCACATGAGACCTTACATCCCTATGTTAGCACCTACAAGAGAGTAGAAAGCAATTTCCTTTATCCTGAGTGGCAAGGATATGTTATGTTTGGTACCTTTGCTTTTGGAATATAATTCTAAATAGTAATCTGCCAGTTGCTAGGATGCTACCTGTACCTATTGAAGGTTATTGACCGTAGTATGAAATTGTAAGGGATTTGGTCATAACCTTGGTTACCGCGTAACACCCATCCCCAAACGGGATGATTGGCCATTTGTTCTCAGGAGACACCCCTTTGAGATTATAGAAAAAAAACTGACAGCCTGGAGAAAAAAGGAGCTCTCCTTTAACATTGATCAGGAAACATCTAAGAGACTTGAGAGCCAAAGCAGCCTTTTGCTCGGACAATTGGACTGTGCTCAAACCAAGGACTTTTGCAAGTATTCTGCCTTCTGAACTTCTTTCTTTTATTTCTCTGTTGTTTTATTGCTCTCTTTATATCTTTGTTACATCTTTTTTGTAAATATTTTAATTGCACCATTTTGACCTTTTTAGTAATAAATCCTATTTTCTGAAAAGTGTTGAACTGTCTCTAAAGCTTTTAATGCAAACTAAAGAATCCTTGTCTCTGAAGAGTGC